CTCCATTTCCTTTATTTTCCCTTCCCCTCCCCACTTCATCCCATCCCTGAGCTGCCGCGGGGGCTGAGGACCCCTCACAGCACCCTAGGGACCCGGCGGGGATGGGGCCGGGGATGCTGGCCCGAGTGTTTTCTCTGTGGCCATGGGGTGAGAAACCCTGATTCTGATGAAGGTCCTGGAGCAGATGCTGGAGGGGAGAAGCAGGGACACGGAAGGGGGTGTCAGTGGGCAGAGGATGCTGGCAAGAGGCAGGTGCAGAGCTGGGGCAAAGCTGGGTGCAGAGTGAGGGTAGGTGGGTGCTGGGATCGCCTGCGGATACCCCATGGGAGAGGAGCAGTGGGGATGGAGCAGGACTTTGTGATGCTGCATCCGTTTTGCCTTTGAAGTCAGCTCCAGCCCAAAGTCACTGCCAAGACCCCCAGAGTCACCCTAAAACTAACACAAGTGAAGGGTGGGCAGAGAAGCCCCTTTCCTTTGAGACTGAGCCCTGGAGGAAACCTTAGCACCAGCTATGAATCCAAAATATCACCAGTGAGACCTTTCCTTGCAGTGCATCCCCCACCTCCACGTTTCTTTAGACCATTTAGAGGATGATGAAGCCAGCGCTCACAGCCCTGACCCTGCTTCTGCCCTGGGACCGTGGTGGATTCTAGATCTGAATAAGCAAAACCAGACATTTTGGCCATTCCAGGGCTTCGCCGCCCCAAGACGTGTCTCTAGTGGGAAGTCCATGGGAAGGGCCCCTTCGCTGCGGGCAGGGGCCCTGATGGGTCATGTACCGACCCCTGGGCAGTTTTTTGGGGGCTGCTGTATTGGGGAGGCTCTCACAGGTTGCAGCGGTTTTATGTCTGACTTTAGGGACTCCAGCTGGTTTTGGGCTCAGAGGGGCAGCCCCCTGTCCTTTGTCTTTGCCAAGTCCTCGCCATGGTCGGGTTCTCTTTAACAGGCATTAATTAGCGGTGTCACTGCTTGACAGGCAAACCAGACACCACGGCCTGCATCACTCTTTAACATGCAAAATGTAACGATCTGGATGCAGACCTGCCAGCTTTCACCCTCACCTGCCCATTCAGGTGAAGCTCATTTGTTGGGGCCAAGCTTTACCACCTCTGGTTACTGCCAAGAGCTGGGGAGGAGGCATTTTGGATTTTGAAGCAGTTTTGGGCTACGAGGCCTGAGTGAGGATCCCTGGCAGGTTGTAACGGTGCCACATCTGCCCGCATCCAGTCCTATCCCAGCTGCAGGTCACAGTCTCACCGGCTGGTGCAGTGCAAGGAGAGAGGAAGGCTTGGAGGTGGCCCCTGGCCAAGGGCCTGGCGTGAAGCAGGAATTATCTGTAGAAACCGGAGGGAATAAGGTGTTTGACGTGAGGATTAATTCCCTGCCCTTAGGAACTGTGGGGGATTGGTGCCGTGTTATGCGAGTCAGGGAAACAATCTGTGCTGTGGGGAGGCCGGATGGCAGCAGTGCTGCTGTTACAGGGGCAGAGGGGAAGCAATGAAGCCAGGAGAAGAAAATTGTGCTGTGAGCCTGTGAGATGTTTGCAGGGAGCATCACCCGTGCACTTTCTGGTTCGCTACTCGCCTGCATCCGTGCGGGAGCTGGCGGTGGCAGCCTCTGGTGCCCATGGGGCTTCGCAAGGTGGGGTCTTGCTGAGAAGGGGCTTCCTGGGTGGGAGCAGAGCCTCTCACAGCCCCAATTGTGAACCCTGGGGTTGTAGAGGGCTCTGCCCTTGTGCTGGCCTGAAAGCGAGCATGCGTGACGAGGATGTGTGGCATCCAGCTCCTTACAGTCCAGAGTAGTAATCTCCCTGCTTTTAGGGAATTTTAAGTGACCTACTTGCAGCAGGAGTTGCATAATAAACTGGTGAAAAAAACAGAAAATATATATATATAAAAATATATATCTATATATACACACATGTATATATAAAAAAGGCTGAAGGTTTCACCAATGCACAGGTTGGTTTGTGTGGAAGGAGTCATCCTTGTCTGGCTGCCACTGGCCTGCGCGGAGCCCTGGCCTTGACCCGCCTTTTCCTTTTCCTTTTCCT